GCAACAGTCTACCAGAATGTTTTAGAGGACTTCATGATTCCTTCTGCTGAGGATCTGTATGGAGATGCAGATTTCATCTTCCAGCAGGACCTGGCCCCTGCCCATACTGCCAGAACCACCAAAACCTGGTTTGATGACCATGCCATCACAGTGCTTGACTGGCCAGCCAACTTGCCGGACCTAAACCCCATTGAAAATGTATGGGGTATTATGAAGAAGAAAATGAGGGACACGAGACCCAAACACAAAGAAGAGCTGACAGCAAGCATTAAGGAAACCTGGGCTTCCATAACTCCCAGGCAATGCCACAGCGCTTTGAGGCATTGTTTAAGGCAAAGAGATTCCCAACGAAGTACTGAAGATTGAAAAATAAACAAATAAATACTTGAAATCGTTTAAACTGTGGGCCCTGAATCTATAATCTATGAAAGTTTAACTTTGAATGGAATTATGCAAATAAACTTTTCCATGATATTCTAATTTTTTGGATATAGTCTGTATATATATATATATATATATATATATATATATATATATACTGTATATGTGTGTGTGTGTGTATTACAGTATTTGTATGGTTATTTTTAGGCCATCAAAGACTTGGTGAGCCAGAAATATGAGGAGGAAAAGGAGTAAACAAAAAAGGACCGCGTCGTTGCTGTTAGTTTAACAGCTGATATGTGGACGTCCATTAATATGCAGGCATATCTTGCTGTTACCTGCCACTATGTTGACAAAGAAAGCCATGAACTCCATTCATCAGTCTTGGCAGTGCAGCATTTTCCTCAGAAACACACTGCAGAAAACATTGCCACGGTTAAAAGGAGCCTCATGGAGGAGTGGGGCATAGCAGGAAAGGTCAGGTGTCTTGTCACTGATGCAGCAGCAAACATGATTTCATGTGCTCCAATGCTACAAATACAGCAAAGCATTTGTATTGCCCATTCTATGAATTTGTGTAAAAAAAAAGCAACAGCTGGGAACACCATTCCATAAATTAATAAATGAGGTGCTGACATGATGGAACAGCACCTACCACATGCTGGAAAGTATGACTGAGCAGAAGGAGGCAGTCTGGGCGTCACTGGCCTCATTAAAAACTGACATCACTCCACTGACTCCTAAAGAATTTGCAATCATTGAAGAGATGTTCAGGGTACTCACTCCTTTTAAACAAGCCACAAGAGAACTCTCTGAGAAAGAAAAAAAAAGAGGCTTGGGGTCAAAGGTTATTCCACTGATGAGAATGATCAATTGAGCTTCAACATCAAGCCTCAACAGTGACAAAAACAGCTGCTCAACAGCTGGCTGAAAATCTGAGAAAGCGGCTAACTGAGTCTATCTGCAACATGGAATCGCTCAGTGTGATGACACTGGCAACACTGTTGGACCCCAGGTTTAAGACAGTTGCCTTCTTTAGTCCAATAAAGCAACTGAAGCTGCCAAGAGACTGAAGTCCGCGTGTGCTGCTGAAATGAGGAGCCATGAGCCTGACCCAGCAGAAGAAGAGCCTAAGCCAGGGGTGACCAAACTGTTCAACGAAGGGCCACTGTGGCTGCAGGTTTTTGTTCCAACCCAGCACTAGCACACCTGAGTTGACAGGTTTAATCAACTGGTCTCAGTCTTCAGACAGCTGATTGGTGAAACTATGTGTTCTTGGTTGGTTGGAACAAAAACCTGCAGCCACACGGCCCTTTGAGGAACAGTTTGGGCATGCCTGGCCTAAGCGCTTCACATGGATCAGAACCCAGTTCAGATATGATAACACTTTTTTTTTTTTTTTTTGTGAATTTATGTGGCAGTTTGTCATCTGATAATAAACTAACCACTAACAAAGAATTAGTTCTAAAATATTTGTTAGGGCACAATCTCTGGAAACCTGTTGATATGGAGGTTGAGAAGAGCAAGATGACCTCAAATACTACAGCCGATTCCATAGTTGAAGTCCAACACTACCTGGCTGACAGCAACACACCCAGAAAGACCCATTACAATATTGGAAAAATAACCAGGAAACATATCCACACCTTTATCAACTCGCACTTAATTTTTTATGGACACCATCTTCATCTGTATCCTGTGAAAGAGTTTTTTCTAAGGCAGGTGAACTGGTGTCTAAGTGGAGAAATCGCCTTGGAGCAAAAACACTACAAAAACCTTTGTTCCTCAATAAAAATGTATGAAAAACTTAACTCAGCAAACAAATTGAGCAAATTAAATTTTACAATGATGAGATCATATTTTAAGTAAAAGACCAGCAATTAAATAAAGATGAAATATGACTTCACAGGGTGGCGCTTTGGCCCAGAGGCAATGTCTGTCATTGGTGTGGAACCCCAGGGTTCACCTCCTGGGCAAGTTCGAATCCCGGTTAGGGCAGTTGGTACCTTCCAGTGGACTCACCACCCGCAGGAAGGTTCAGGGGGGTTGGTACGGTGCAATGTGATTTGGGTGGCGACTGCTGCCCCCGCGACCCGGTAGCGGATGAAAATGGATGGATGGATGGACTTCACAGGCTGATGTTGGGTTTGCAGCATGTAAGCTTTTCTCTTATTTCCATTTTGTTTACCTGCAATGATTTTAGAACTACTGCAGAGGTCACTATTGAGTGACCAACACAGTTTGTATAATGTGTCAATACACTCATTGAGGTATCATCATCCCATCACTAGTAAAAACTGCACACACAGGCCTGGTGGATTTCCTGGAGCAGGTCCACTGCATTTGGAGTTGTTTGGAATTTTCCTGTAATTTCTCATCCTTGTCTATTAAAAAAAGCCTAGATTTCTATGCCAGAGGCAAGTACAGTATAAGGTCCAGGAAGCAGGGGGAAAGCAAATAATTGAAATGCAAGGACAAAGTCAAATAACAGGCTGAACTCTAACATGTGGAGAGTGTAAAAAACAATAGTGGAAGAGAAACAGGTGGGAAGGGTAAGGCAATCACTTTTGAAGGAGACACAGGAGGCAGGGACAGGTGGACGAGGGAGTAGGAACACAGAGATGAAGGTGAAATCACTCGGGAAGAGGCAAGAGCTGAGACACAAGAGGCAGACAAAAAATATGCAAACATGAAAAATCTGATGCCGAAAAAATAAATACAGAGTCTGGACTTGACACAAGATCAATGAACTTTTTCAAAGACCTTTCATTATAGACCATACCGTTATACAATGGTGAAGGCAGGACCCAGATGCAGCACTAGAGAGTTTAAATTAAACTCAATGGAACAGGACCAGACAGGGACAAATGCAAAGCAGACATGATGAAACAGAGAACACAGAAACAGGAACGCAAACGCAAACACAAACACCAACACCAACACCAACACCAACACCAACACAAACACAAACACAAACACAAACACAAACACAAACACAAACACAACGACCCAACAAGGACAGAGTAAGGGAGAGAGGTATATATACCAGAGCACCAGGTGACACCAGGAGGTGACTAACGAACAGAGACACAGGAGAGTGATGACACTGATTACTCAGCAGAAGGGCAGGGAGACAAACCGACCTCACACATACCCTTCACCTTAAGCTGGAGACTTTTCTTCTCTTCTTTTCCAGTCAGTCCTCCATAATAATAGTACAAAGACACCATTTTTCAGTTCTTAAGCAAAAAAAATATTGGGGACTATTTCATTGTTTTTCCCAAATTCAGAGCAGACAAAGATCCTTTTTTTAAGTGGTTGTTATTCTTAATGACCATTCCAGATTTACTCTATGAATAATACAAATGAAATATTAAAGCTCATTAACCTTTGTCAAAGGTTAAGAGATGAACGTTTGTCGATTCTGTCGTCATAAGTCACACAGAAGACATAAATAAACCCAAAGGTCAGTCACTTTGGCTGGAATAAAGTGGATAAACACTAAAACATGTTGGGAAATTCCCTTTTCACTTGAGCAACACTTGGCAGTGTGTTTGAGTAAAGGTTAGCAACATTCTTTACCCTGTACTTTGATAATAATAATATTAAAACATATATGTCATATATGGTCAAGCCAATTTTATTTGTAAAAATAAAACATTCATCCTAAAAAAACTCACATAACAGGAGGAATCATTTGTTATATTATTATATTATATTTAGTTTATATTAACAATTCATTGTAATGTGGTGTTAAAGTATAATGACATCTGTGTGTCAAGACTTTGGTGGTTATTTAAAGCGCTTCATTTTATTTTGGAAAGTCAGTGTTGCTTCCTGTGCAGTTGTTCACGGCAGGTGTATTCAGGGTTTAACGGAAGCACATAGCCCATTGGTAAGTTGTTAGTAGCTAAACTATATAATGTATGATTTAATAGTATAATGTGTTGCACTGTCAAGCTAACCTAAAAATGTGATGTTAAAATATGTTTGTTATTTAGCACTCATGGTTGGCGCTAGCTCGCGGTTAGCGCGTTAGCTCGCCATTGGCACGCTAGCTCCCGCTAGCTCGCGTTAGCATCGCCGCTAGCTCTATTAATATACTTGGTTAACTCTGTTAGCTTTCCAGGTTAGCACTTAGACAAGTCTTTTGTCTATAGCTATTAATGTTGACCAAGACACTGGTTTAGGTTAGAGTGTTTGCTGCTATTTATTACTTTAATTTCATAAGGAAACATTGGACTGGTATGTATTAAACTAGTTAATGTTTGTTTATTGTAAATTTGTTATTTACATTTTCATTAATACTATTGCATGTAACTTGTTATGTTTGGTTCACTCATTTCAGGTTTATGACCTGTGGTTACCTGTGGTCACCTGTGGTCATTTGAAAATAAATAAATAAATAAAAGAAGACCAAGGATAAACACGAGTTATAGCTTCAGTGTGCTTCCTGTTGAGCCTTTTCGGAGGGCAAAATTTTAAAAAAT